AGGTGGGGTGTTTACTGGGAGCCGGGATGTGGGATGCAGGGCGCCCAGGGCCGGACTAGGGGGTGGGCGAGCCGGGCAGCTGCCCGGGCTGCCGCCCGGGCTGCCATCAGGCGCCGCACGCCCGGCTCCCGCAGTGCCCCCCACACCCCTATCCCCGTGGCGCCAACCAGCAGCGCCCTTCCCCCCACGGCCGCAGGACCCTGCATGGTCAGGTGTTGCGCGCTAGCAGCAGTTGCTGGGCCAGGCAGCGCATGCGCTGTGCGCCCCGGTAGCAGACCCTGAGCTGCCCGCCAGCGGCTGGGCAGCACATGTGCCGTGCATCCCGGGGTCAGGCCCGCGCATACACCGTGCACCCCGGGCACCCATGCTCGCTGGCTCCCAAAATGGCTCGGGCCAGCCCTGAGGACTTCCCACATGGGAGTGAATGATAGACTCAGTCTCGCCAAGAATAGGGCTTAGGTGAATCTCTGTGACTCTCCTGGTTGGTGGGGCTGGTGGCAATTCTCCCTCGTGCTCTCCTATGACCATTTGGTTTTATTTCCTCAAAGGCAATTGTCAGCAGCTGCTTAGCTTTATCTTTTGTTGTGGATTCATTCCCAAAATACATTTTACTGTCTTGTGAGTTTTGCAAAGTGTTACAAGAGGACATCTGAAATCTCTTTCCGACTTACTTGCGCTCTCAATCATTTAGATTCTCCCAGGTTTGAAAGTCAGGGGTTGCAATCTGCCTTTTTGTGTCAGTCTTAAGAGGAGAAAATTGCGGGAACAACATTCCCTTGTTCACATCACTAGTTTGCCTACTCATGTCAGGTTTTTGTATCATGCTAAGGATGTTAAAATATGGTTAATTGATTAGTCGATGGAATTTCTATTGACTAGTCAACTAGTCGATAGGCACTTCTGCATTCCTCCTTTGAAATGTACAAGCGCCCCAGCTGAGCCCAGGCTCCCCTCCTGCCCCTTTTAATTGTACGGAGGCAGCAGTTTCAAAGGGGCAGCCGCTGCATAGCTGATCAGCAGTGCAGCTGCTGTCCCTTTGAAATTGCTGCCTCCATGTGATTCAAAGGGGCGACAGGGGAGCCTGGGCTCCCTGTGAACCTGAGATCAGCTGGGGACTCCCCAGATGATCCGGGTCCTGGGGAAATGCTATGGGGAGCCTGGGGTCAGCTGGGGAGTCCACAGCTGACCCTGGGCTCAACAGCAGCTGCTCCTTTGAATCGTGCAGAGGTGGCATTTTAAAGGGGCAGCCCGCTGCACAGCTGATCTCGGGATTGACTGTGCAGCTGCTGTCTTGGGGCACTGCCACTTTGAAGTACCCCCTCCCCTTTTGCTGCCTCTATTTTATAGAGGCAGCAAGGGGGGGTGGAATTGACTAGTTGACATTACTATCCGATAAGCAAATGCTTATCAGATAGTTGACTAGTCTTACATCCTTATATAACATCCTTATATCATCCATGAAGAAATGCTGTTGTGTCATTACAATGCTATATGAAATGTGAAAGATGTGAGGGAGATCTCTGAAGATCAAGGATAGTATGAATTTTTGGGATGGACTGCAGCCCTTGTGTACATAACCCATATTTGTGGGCCTGATCCTGCAGTCTTTATGTAAGTACCATCAGTGAGGGTAATGAGATTATTTACATGAGTAAGATACACACCATTAGGGCCTTTGCTTGAAGTGGTTTTCTACTACAGGCAGTCCCCAAGTTACGTGGATCCGACTTATGTCGGATCCGCAGTTACGAACAGGGCCGTCTCCCTGGTCTCCAGCAGACCAGGGAGAGGAAACAAAGCAGCGGAGCACGCGGGCAGCCCAGACGCGTCTGGGCTGTCCGCTGCCCGCATGCTCCGCGGCTTTGCTCTGCTTTGCCCCCCCGTCCTCCTGGTCTTAGCAAAGCCAGGGAGCACGCGGGCAGTGGACAGCTCAGACGTGCCACGGCTGTCCCGCTGCTGGCGTGCTCCGCGGCTTTGGTCCCCATCTCCCTCGG